AAAAAAAAAAAAAAAAAAAAATCAATTGTCTTTATCAAAGAGAGAATTAGAATGATAAAAAAGAAATAAAAAATCATTGATAAAATGATATAATAAATATTATTAATATTATAATCCTATAATCGCAAATAATTCCTATTATTACGTAACTCAAATAAAATGGAAATGTTAAACGTTACATAATCAATTTTGTGCTTTGTTTAATTAGAGATTAAAATTAATGCTAAACGTTTTATCATAAAAGGAATGATTGGAGAGTATCTATGTATTAATTAAATTTACATATTTCTCGAATAATATATTGTCCAAATTTAAGGAGAAATTATTTATCGAAAAACTAATTGAATAATTTAATTTTGTGAAATTTGTAATACGAGATAGTTTAGCAAGATGCATTCTAAACTATTATTTGTTTTTTTTTTTTTTTTATTTGATCTCTTTTGTTTATAAATGTTCTTATTAATATTTAAATTTATAATTTTTAACATAATTATTTTTTACAAAATAAAATATAAAGAGAATAGAACAAAGTTATTAACGCGAAGAAACTGTCGTCTTACATTTTGACACGTCATTAAAAACGTATCAATGAAAAAGATCAATTAAGTATATCGATTAATATATAAATGTTATGTAAAGATAATAATAATAAGTATATATATATAAATCATTTTTATAAAAAGAATATTTAATATTAAATATTTTTCTTCAAAGTATTTTGATAAAAGTGAAATATGTTCAATGGGAGATTAAAAATAACGAAGAAAATATTCAAAAGTAATACGTTTTTCATCTTATAATAGATATATATTTTTCAAAAAGGATTATTATATACCTTTTATGTCATTCCATAATAAATATATCGATACAAAGAATTGAAAAGAATTTGTTGATCGTTTACATTTTGTTAAATCGCCCCCTCACGTGTTGCATAACTTAAATCGTAATAAAAATCATTTTATTTGTTAAATAATACCAGTTAATTATTTTTTTTTTTTTTTTTTTTAGTAAATGTTGAACAAATTGAAACAAACAATTCTTTCTAGAATAAGAGATATGTGTTTATAAAATTGTTTTAATATAATATGTCTTCTTCGTAAATTTGGACAATTCTCAAAAATAGCATTGTTTAAAGTCAACAGGTGTAGCAGTAACAAAAGTTAAGATTAGAAGATTAAAAAAAAAAATCAATTGAAATAATTCAAACAACAAATAATTTCATTAGAAAATATTAAATGTAAAAAATCAAATGCAAGGTGTTATTAATTATTAACCGGAAGTTACATAAAATTGTAAAAAAAACATCATCTCTATAGTATACTGTAAATTACATTTAAATCTAATATACTAATATTAAATCTAATTTATTATTATCTAATATATTAATATTATATGTAATAATAATAATAATAATAAAATAATCTAAAAAAAAAAACTATTCTTTTTAATTATAAAAAGATATCAAATTATTAATTTAAAACAATAAAACAATAAAAAAAAAAAAAGAAACAAATATAAAATGTAAGTACGTACCTTCATTTTGAAATTTTTCGTATAAACTTCTACCGTCTTACTTAATATTCTTTATTTTTATTTAAAAATAATTATTCAAGAGCAAAACAAAAAAAAAATAAAATGATTAATACTCGATTAAGAAAAGAAGTAACTTCTTAATAAGAATTATAAGATTCTCCGTGCACGAAGGATGCCAAGGGTTAAAGTGTGTTTGAGGACAAAATCGGTGCGCGCTTGCTCTTCAAATATAATCCCCTCTCTTCAATGAAAATAGAAGAAACATGAGAGTAAACATTAGAACGCATGACCGTAAAACAACGTATACTATATATACACAATTTTCTTACAGAGAAATACGTATTTTATGATTTGCATTTGAAGGAGAATTGTATCCAAACGCATAAGCTTATAGGGTTGTTGTTTCACTTGCGGTTATCCTTAAGATGCATACAACTGGGGGAGGAGAAGGAGGAGGAGGAGGAGGGGAGAGTTGAAATACAAAATATCATTCCTCGTAGATCTTCCTTGCAATTTCATCTTTCGTTCTAAATCCTAAATAAGTTTAGTTTCTACTTGATAGAATATTCTCAAGGCTAAGAAATGCTAATTTTTCTACTGCAATGCAATAAGAGAAAGATTAGTTGAGAAAGATTGATCGTTCGTGTTGCATAAATTATAAATATATATATATATATATATATATAAATATATAAACATATCAAAATATTAAATATTATATGTCTAATCTTAACAAGTTATATTTAATGGTGTATTATAATTGTCGACAAATGTTTAACTTAAACTTAAATGTTTTTATATTAAAAAAAAAAAAAAGAAGAAAAAAAACAACAACAACAAGAAGGTGAATTAAAAGCGATCGAATAATCGATAACAAGAAACCGTGAAAAAAAAAAAGAAGGAATAAAGTCGATAATAGTTTGAGGTAATTCATAGAAAAAAAAGGACTGGGGTTAAGTACTTACATCGTTCGTACATCAGAACCCGCTGCGTTACGATAAGGTCGTTCACACCCTTCAAATAATCGTGTGTCAATTTCTTTTTCGCATTTTAAAACAATTCATATATATATATATATATATATATTTATATGTGACGATTCAAATCTATATAAAAAAGAATTAAAAAATTATTAACATACTAAATTACGCTTATTTTTTTTGTTATATACTTTAACCCTTTGTACTCCCTTGAGATGATACAATCGATTACTATTCGGTTTAACAGCATAATTTGAATAATAACAATATTTATTTAGATTTTATTTTGGTAATACCATTTAATGAATATTTTAAACAATAAATTCAATGTATAAAACAATTGGCAATCTTTAATCTTAAATATGTCGTTTACATGCAATGATTGAATTGCGGCCTGTTACTTCGTATATAAAGTATTTTATTTGTAAAAAAAAATTAACCCGAGTTGCTGGTTTGCTAAGAAAAAAAGGGCAAAAGTGCAAAGGGTTAATATAATATGAATATAATATAATATATAAATAATTTATAATTTATAATTTACCTATATATCTAAGAAATAATATCTTATATCATAAAAGATGTCTTATGTCGATATTATTGTAATAATTACTTCAATTTCAACAAATTTCTTCTTAATAGTAATTATCAATCTTTAATATAACTTTATTTACACATAAATAAATAAATTTATCGAACGGAGAATGACAGATAGATTTTTCCTTTGAAAATAACAAAATTTGAATGAAAGAAAAACAAATGGCGCTGGTAGTCTGAAGTATGCAACTAATGGTAAGGAAGAACGTAAAGCGGGAAATTTGAAATGTTTGAATTCAAATTTGATAATTCAATAGTTAATAGTTCAATCATTCAAATAGTTATAATAATAATTATTATTATTATTATAGCATGCGTTTTAAATAATTTATTTAATATTTATTGTTTAATAATAAATCTTGAAATAAATGCCAGTACAGATATATCATAATTATTAAATAGAGTTGTAAAACGAGGTAGATAAAATATTTATATATAATTATAATAATAATGTATAATGTATAGTTTATTCAAAAAGGTTTTTGTTTAAAATACATATAAATAAAAAATAAATGCTTCCATATAGAACATGCCATTATGCGATTCAGCTGTCTATCTGTCTGTCTGTGTGTGTGTGATAATTATCGAGAGAATGTACTTTCGTGTAAAAAAAAAAAAAAATATGATAATTAAAATGAACTTTAGGCCACATTAAATTTACTGTATATTTTGTTGTTTTTGTTACTGTTTTGTTCTTATTGTTTTGTTTTTTTTTATACCGGCAGCAGAAGAGTTGCAAATTGAGTATTTAACAAGCACGTAAAAAAGTATTTAATTAAAATGTCACTCATTGTTTTAAAATAAAATCAAATGTATTATTATTATTATTATTATTGATTCATTAAAGAGGAAAAATACGCTTTATATTTTCGATTAATAATCATAAGTTATAAACATTCTTTTCACATAGCATAAGATTTAATAATGTGCTCTTATACTGCCTTATTTAATTAGTTTAATTGTGTAGTAGTAATTTTACAGAAACTTTAAGAAAATAGATAGAGATGTTAAATTTTATAAATTATTCATAACAAAGCGTATTCTAGTATGTATATTTTCATTTCTTGTTGTTGTTTTTTTTTTCTCTTTTTCTTTCTTTCTTTTTTTCATTTCATTTTCTTTCTTTCTTTCCTTTTTATCATTCTTTTCTTTTTTTTTTGGTTTTTTTGGTTTTTTTTTTTTGAATCGTTACAATGTAAATTGACAATATTTCAAGCTATAATCTCGCATACGTTTCTTTGCTTGCCTTATTATTATTATACTTTTTGTTTGATGTGATGTTTATTATATTTTATTTTAATATTTTTATTTAAATTGAAAAATCATTTTTACTGCGAGGTGATTTCAACAGTAACGCAATTAATATTAATTCATATTACAATGTTTTCTTGTTTTTTTTTTTTTCTTTTAACCTTTTTTTTTTCTTTCTTTCCTTTTCGCACAAATAAGTCAGAAGATAATTAATTCATGATATGACTAGAATATTTTTTACACTTCATACATTCGTTTATAGTCTTATGTGCAAAATTATAATAATAATAATATTAATAATTATAATAATAGTAATAATAATAATAATAATAATAGTAATAATAATAATAATAATAGTAGTAAAAAACTGTAAGAATTACAATAAACTGTTAATACGTAGAGCTTTGGTTTATAGCATTTTTAGCGATATCATCCAAACGAGAGAAGGTAAATGCGATCATAGTATTGTTTTGTTTCTTAAGCTGCATGAGCTGTAAGTAGTGTAATTTATGTTATCGATGTATTTGTACTCAAAGTACTATCATTGATAAATACATATATATATATATATCATTCTATATAATTATATTTTGAATTAAAAAAAAAAAAACAAAAAAACAGCTGCCTTCAAAAAGTCATATCGCATATCGAGAATAAAAACATTATTTTGTATATTATTTAAGTATTATTAATCATTCGCAAAATCGATATTATAAAAGTTCGATCAAAATTAGTCAATCTTTTCTTTGTTCGTTTGAAAAATTTGAAGTATACATTTTAGAATTTTTAATTAATTAATTATAATCAAAACTGTATATATATATATATATATGTATATGCATTATTACATTGATATATCAAGATATAACAGATTTCTTTTAATTAATATAAATCTATATGATATAAGCAAATAAAAATTATTTTGAAAAGCTGTATAAAATAATTGCACTACTTACAATAAATGCAAATTGATATACATATATATATATATATATACTATAACATAGTAATATAATACATAAACGCGTTATATGTTTTATTTTCTAAACTTAGTGCGCGTTATGCGATAATACATATGTACGATTATAGTACATACGTATAATAAATTCCTTGGCTTAAAATGTCAAAAATTAATGAAATATTATTCATTGTAATTTAAAACTGTGCAGTGTCTGGCGCAAATGAAATTGTTGTTTGTTTGTTTTTTTTTTTTTTTTTGTTATAACAAGATCAATTTCCATTTGCGTCTAATTATTAATTAAAAATCATGTCTTACACGTCTGGAAGATATATCCTCTAACAGCTACTAAAATATCATATTGTATAGTTTTTTTTTTTTTTAAACTTCGATTAATTTGAAGTTTTATATCCAGAAATTTCATATACAATTATTAAATTTATCAAAATCATTGATATTCTAAGGTGTGTTCAATTAAAAAAAAAAAAAAAAATAATGAAGGTTTTGATACAAATAGCATACAAAATTGACTGCAAACAACACCTCAGACATATTTTCAATCTTAATGAAACTTTGTATTGTTTAATTATTATACGAATATTAATAGAAATTTTTTTTCTTTTGTTATTTTACCAAAAATTGTATAGAAAAAAGAAGAAGAAGAAGAAAGATTATCATATGTCTGATTGAAATTGAAAATTTGCTGCGTCTATGCTACAGTATGTACACCTAGCAAGCATTACTGTTTTTGTTAGAATATTTTCACCTATAATAAAAAATTCTTTACTCGTGGACTCATCTTTTATATTATAATTTCTTCCAAAAAGTTCACACCGATTATATATATATATATATATATATTAACATGAACAAAATATGGCATATTCGGTTGTTGATTGATCGTTTAAAGATTAAAAAGCATATGGCACTCATAAGTCCTATCATTTTTTTTCTATTCTAAATTCTCTTTTTGGAATATAAAAAATAGCATGTTCACAATTGGAGAGGAATATATCTGTCATATCATCATCATCATCATCATCATCATCATCATCATCATCATCACACTACGTTACATTTGAAAATCTCTGTATACAGAGAGTGTGTTTTTGTTTGTTTGTTTGTATTTTTAATATTTAAATGGTAATTGTTATACCATTGTTCAAATTTCTAGTTGAAATACAAATCAATCAATCAATCAATCAAAAAAGTTTTTTTTTTGGTTTCAAAATTGTTTTAAAACTGTAAACACAGTGAACTTTATAATAGCAAACGCCGACTCTTTTGCACCATCATTCTTTATATGGTTTTTTTTTTTCGTTTTTTTTTTTTTCATTCATTTTAGTGCGAGTGCAATAGTTTTAAATCTATTAAGTATGTAAAAAAAAAAAAAAAAAACGAAAGAATGTTATGGTTTTATATTTAAAATACATTGTGCTATTCTCTTTCTCTTGTAACTGTGCATAGCATCATATATATCCTTATTCATCAATATTTCACATTATTTTCTTATTATTCCGTATTTATTTTGATTATTATTATTATTTTATTTTTCTTTATTTTATTTTATTTTTTTTTTTGCAAAATAAGTAAGCTTATTTATATGAAAAATAATTCATAGGCTCTCAATAATGTTAATAATGTCTATAGCGTCAGATTGTATTCATGTAAAATATACACACGCACACAATCTGTACAATACTGTATCTATTACATGCAACAATGGAATTACAAAGTATGATATTTGATATATGTTTGCAATAAAATAATATTATATATATATAATATATATATATATCCTTAATTTTTTAAATAATCAAAATACAATAAATATCAATATACACAAAATACGCTACAGTTCTGTTTCTCTTACTATTTCGTATCTTGATAAAATGTTTTTAAAATTGTAAACAATGAAATATTACCACGAAAGAATAATAGTAAAATTTGTGTTTGTTCAAAATATTAATATCTACAAAGTTTTCATCGATTTAATGTCGAACTTATCGTTAGTCTTTTGTCTTGTTTTGTTTTTTTTTTTTTAATTTTTTTTTTTTTTTTCATTATTTACGTTAGAAATTTCTCCACAAGATTTTCAAAAATCACATTTAATAATTTTATTGCATACACAATTTTATTTAATTGATGTAAAAAAATTTGTTGTTGGTTTTGTTTTTGATTTGTTTTTTTTTTTTTTTTGTTCGATGCTATGGCACTGTTGTTTATTTATTTAAAACTATATATTGTGATACTAAATTTTTGTTCAACTTGTAAAATTTGTTAGTAGTATATTGATTGCTATAGTAACTAACATGTATATCTCCTAAAATGAATATTTCCTTTCTTTCTTCTCTACCATCATCATCATTATCATCATTATCATCATCATCGTAAATATAAAAATCGAAACTCTGGCAGCTATGATAAGAGTAAAGCTTTAGTTATTATTCTTTTTTTTCTTTTTTTTTTTTTTCTTTTAATATCTTTCTTTTTTACCTTCGACAGACACAACACATTCACGCAATATCATAATAATTTAATTGAGTATATTTTCTAATCAATAAAAAAACACTACTGTGCAAAATTAAATTGAAAAAGCTATCTGTTGTTTAAATCGTTCTTTCTCGTGATTTGTTTGTTTGTTTGTTTGGTTTTTTTTTCGTTTTCTTTTTTTTTTTCCTCCTCTATTTATCGTCGTATCGACTAGTTCACCGATATAAATATAATATCGTATATAAATTTAAAAAATTGTCTTCTCTTCACGTTAAAGATAGTAAGAAAATTGTTTGTTCTATGGATTTAATAAGTAAACAACCTTGTAAAATGATTATAATATTTATACTTTCTCTCGTTGTCTAAACTTTCAAGTCTTGTTTGTTTGTTTGTTTGTATGTTTTTAAATGTTACAACTTACATTAGGACCAGGAAGTTGTAAATTGTACTTTATTTGTAACACGGTGAACTCTGCAGCTGCCAGAAAAATTGATTAAATAGTATACGCTGCTATCTTTTTTCTTCTTTTTAATACATCTCTACTAACGTATCCTTCCTTTTCTTTTTTTTTTTTTTTTCATTTCTTTTTTGATCAAACTAATTTCAGTCTGTCATTTCATATAAGTGTGTGTTTACCTAGATCAGTGAGATTCCATTTTCTTCATATAATTTATAACATAATGCATCTTCTCTGTCGGCGTTTTTGTGGTTCAGGTCTTAAAACTGCACGTACTGCTTCATCGAATACTTGTTTTAATCCACGTTGTGTTAAAGCGGAACATTCCATATATTTGACAGCACGAATCTGTAACTCGTAAAATGTACATTATCATTTTTTTGCTAATCAATATCTATATGATTGATAAATATATATATATATATATCTTAATCAAAAATAAAATGCATTGCAAGAGATTAAATAAAAACCTTATTAGCCAATTTTTGTCCCTGTTCTCTTTTGATAGCACTTAGTCCTTGTTCAGCTAAGGCAGTTAAAGTTTCACGATCATCTCTTAAATCTATTTTAGTTCCAACAAGTATCATTGGTGCATCTGGGCAGTGGTGTTTTATTTCTGGATACCATTTACTAGTAACATTTTCAAATGATGAAGGACTCGTTACAGAAAAACATATAAGAAAGACATCGGTCTGTGGATAAGAGAGTGGTCGAAGTCTATCATAGTCTTCTTGACCTGCTGTATCCCAAAGTCCTAAGCTTACTGGTATTCCATCAACGACCATGGGTGCTGAATAGTTATCAAATCTAAACATAATTAACATCAAATTAATGATTATTTCATTGACAAAATTAAATCTTTAATTAATATTTCAATCAAATCTAAATAATAAGTAACAAATGATATTGTAGATTATTAATGAATATAATGGGACTGTATAAAAGTGATATTTTGTATTGGTGAAAAGTATATAACATTGAAAGAAAGATATTTTTATATATCCTGACAAGATGTTTTGCGAAAGGACAATATCAGATAAATGGCTTCCTGTATACAGTAGTAGTATTAGTAGTAGTAGTAGTAGGGTGCTCTTATTACCACTGCATTACTATTATTAGCCATACCAGTTCATCGTTCTAAAGAAGAGATATGTAGAGAAAAAATAGAAAGATGATTTCTAAATGAATGAAAGAAAGAAAGAAAGTGAAAGTGAAACTTAATATCATTCCTAATTATATTAATATACTTATTTAGATATATTAAACAGTAATATTATAGAATGTGTTCCACTTACACAGTTGGTACGTATTCTCCAGGAAAACTGTCTGTAGTGTATGATATTAACATACACGTTTTTCCAACTGTTCCATCTCCTACTACAACACATTTGATGGGTCTACCAGAGCTCATGTTTTCAATTCTAAAACGATAAACACAATATATCAATAATTTAGTATTTATGTATATAATACTTTAAAAGTAATACAATAAAGATAAAATTGATCTGTAAAACAATTTCTATCATGTAATAATAAAAAGATATAACAAATACTTTGAGAGAGATAATATGTTTGTACAATAAAAAGAAAAAAACAAGAAAATCAATATATGTAAACTAAAGATAACATTAATTCCATCTATACATAACCAATATTTGTAAAAAAAAAATTATTCTTATTATTATTATTGTTTAGAATGATAGAAACAAGTAATCTCTTTGATGGTTAGTCAATAAAATGCAAATAATAATTAATTATAAGATAATATTTTTCAAATTAATTAATTGATCGTATGAATGTGATACAATTAATTAGATTTTTAATTGTAACATTAATTAACACGCGTGTTGCTTTGATTATATATAATAATAATTAAATAAATGATTATTTGATATTATAACCATTCAACATAAAATGCGAAGGGCTTGTCCTAAATGTATTACAGTGTTACATTTAAAGTTTTTACATGGAGTTACGTCGAATGGAATATTGAATGATACATTTCTAATATCACTTACCAAAATACGTAAAAAAAAAAAACAGAATAAATGAATTCTTTGTTAGAAACTTTAAAAACTTATTTAACACCAGTTTGAGAATATATATATATATATATGTATATATATGTATCTATATATATATATATATGTATGTCTATATGTGTATATGATTGGCACTCTTTAAAAAATCACAAAAGCAGATGCCATGATGGTGTTGCGGTTTTTCGAGCTCATAGATGTAGTCAGACGTAGTCCTCTGCTTGGTGACAGATGTTCGACAATCACTTTTTCCTTTCCCCTCTACACCGAAAAACTCATTGTTCAGAAACGATTCGGCAGAGACATCTATCACGCGATTTATCTATCGTTCCAATCAAAATACTCGTCATTATTTCGAATACAACCTCAATAAGAAATAAGTCTAAAAATAATTCTTTATAAATATTATTAATTAACAATTAACGATAATAAATAATTATCTCGTAATATATTTCGATATTGTTGTGTTTTTATTTATTATAAAATATTTATCATCATTTGTTTATTTTATGGTATTCTTTTTAAAAAACAAAAAAAAGTTATATATCGATACTCGTTATAAGCATTCGTTTCGATTACTCGATGCAATGTAGTCTATGATAAAACAGGTTGGTCAACTATAGAGAAATAAAAATCCGGCTTTCTTTTTAGGTTATATTTGTCTTTTCCGTAAGAGCATAGTGTTGTTGCAAATGCATCCATGTAAGTTTATATCAATTATTTGACGTTTTGATATTTGAGTGAATTGTTTGAATTACATTGATTTATATGTTTCATTAGATGATTTATAGAAAATAAATTGATTGTGTAAAATGCCTTCTCAAGAAATTGTGGTTCCGCAACCTCCAACAACCGAAAGCGAAGATAATGCACCATCGTCACAACCTATCGTTGGAATTATTTATCCTCCTCCAGAGGTTAGGAGTATCCTTTTATTTTATAAAATATGCAATTATTATTATTTAAGGTAATGTTATTAATGTGTTGTACAATCTACAAATCATTTGATTTAATAGGTTAGATTATCTATGCATATACTTTTTCCTTATACACTTGTTTAGATATCGTTGACAAAACTGCTAGCTTCGTTGCTAGAAATGGACCAGAATTTGAATCGAGAATTAGACAAAATGAATTGGGAAATCCGAAATTTAATTTCTTAAATTTTGGTGATCCCTATCATGCATATTATCAACATAAAGTTAAAGAATTTAAAGAAGGTAAAGCACAAGAACCATCTGCTGGTACTGGTACTGGTAAAACTGTAAATCTTACTGCACATCAAAAGCAACAAGAGATTTTAAAGCAAGTCGAACAACCTTTCGTACCTAAAGATCCACCTGCAGAATTTGAATTTATCGCTGATCCTCCTTCTATTTCTGCATTAGATTTGTACGTATCAATTGATTATATTTAAATGTATCTTAATCGAATGTTTATTAATTTTTATGTTAATCATTTTCTTTATTTCATTTTAGGGATATTGTCAAATTGACAGCACAATTTGTAGCACGTAATGGACGTCAATTTTTAACCAATTTAATGAACAGAGAACAACGTAACTTTCAATTTGATTTCTTACGTCCTCAACATTCATTGTTTCAATATTTTACAAAACTTCTTGAACAATATACTAAAGTATTTATATTTTATTAAACATTTTCTATGTTTATTTATATATTCTGATTATTATTAATAAGTTTTAATGTTAATAGGTATTGATCCCACCTAAGGATTTATTACCACGACTGAAAGATGAAGTTTATAACATGGATAAGATTTTGGAACAAGTTAAGTATCGTGCTGAATGGTTGAAATATCAAGAAGCTCAAAGACGTAAAGAGGAGGAAGAATTAGAACGGGAGAGAGTTGCTTATGCTCAAATTGATTGGCATGATTTTGTTGTCGTTGAAACTGTTGATTATCAACAATTTGAAGTGGGTAATTTTCCAGCACCAACAACTCCTGACGAAGTCGGAGCTAGGGTTCTTATGCAGGTAAAATAGATAACTATAACAAATATTTAATACATTCTTGTTATTTATAGAAATACTCATTTGTAATAAATGTGTTTTTAATAGGAGCGTATAGAAGAAGGGGAAGATGTTGAGATGCAAATTGACAGCGATGGAGAAGAAGAAATGCAAAATCGTACCGATGGTGAAAAAGATCGTGCGAAGGATAATAATCAAGTAAATAAATGAGAAAATTGGTATTATTATTATTATAAACAAAATATTAATATTATATGATTGTTTCAAGGTACAAGATATGGAGGAGGATTCAAGTGACGACGACGACGTGTCTCCTCCAGGTGATTCTCACAAATCTAAAGAATCTAAGATACGAGATGCAAGTATGCAACCTCCGCCATTACCACCGACACCTGGTAATGTTGTTGTCAAGAAAGGATATGATCCAAAACAACATGGTAAGTGAAAAGCAAATGTTATGAACACATTTTGTTTGTATGATATAAGAGATATTATTAATTTATTAATACTTTATACGTTTTAGCTGTTAAAGCGGCTCGTCCAGTTGCACCTGATGAATATTTGATTTCTCCGATTACGGGAGAACGTATACCTGCTAGTAAAGTTCAAGAGCATATGAGAATAGGTTTATTGGATCCACGGTGGGTAGAACAACGGGATAAACATTTAGATAAGTTGGCGCAGCAAACGGTGTTTGCTCCGGGTACTGCAATTGAGGCCAGTCTTAAGCAACTCGCTGAAAGGCGTACTGATATCTTCGGTGTTGGTGATGAAGAAACAGCGATTGGTAAAAAGATCGGCGAAGAGGATAAGAAGAAAGATGATAAAGTTACATGGGATGGTCATACGTCTAGTGTTGAAGCAGCGACTAGAGCAGCTCGAGCAAATATTACTTTAGAAGAACAAATTCATCAAATACACAAAGTCAAAGGACTTCTTCCTGATGAAGAGAAAGAAAAGATTGGTCCAAAGCCTGCCAATCGTGCAGCTGAACTTTCTCATATGGCTGCTGTTGCATCTAAGCCTCAAGCTACTCTCAAAGCACCTCCTAAACCACCAGCACCGAAACCAATACCAGTTCCAGCCCAACCACCACCACCACCAGCTATGAGTATGCCTACAATGGCAATTCCACAACCAATGATGCCGCAGCCACCGATGATGATGATGGCTCCTATGCCACCAATAAGACCACCACCCCTTATGAGTATGAGTTTTTATTATTTATTTATTAATTATTATGTTATATAACGTGTAACAATATTATTTTATATGATTTCAATTTCAGCACCTACTATGTCACCATTTATGCCAACACCACCACCTATGCAACCACCAATGGCATCAGCTGTAAGTATTTTTTAATTTGATAATCATCTAGAAAAATATTTCAATACTGGTTTTAATTTAATATTATTATTTTTTGAAGATCGGTATCAAACATACTGCAGAACCTATGGAGGAAGAACCTCAAGCTAAGAAATTGCGTTCTGAAGATACATTGATTCCTGAACAAGCATTCCTTGCTAGAAATAAGGTAAGATTACGATAAGGTAAGGTAGGATTATATTGGATTATTATTTTATTTTATTTTGTTTGTATTAGGGTCCGGTACAATTGAATATTGCTGTACCCATGATGACAGAGAAGGCTGAATGGAAATTAAATGGACAAACATTGAGTATCACTTTGCAACTGACCGATACTGTCGTAACTATGAAAGCTTTGATTCATGAACAAACTGGTATGCCACCAGGCAAACAAAAGTTGCAATACGAGGTAAGAAAATGATTTATAATTAATAATAATTAATATTATCATTAATTGTATATTAACAAATGAATTTTCTTTAGGGAATGTTCTTTAAAGATGGTAACACACTTGCTTATTATAATTTATCATCTGGAAATGTCATCAATCTTCTTCCCAAGGAAAGAGGTGGCAGAAAAAAATAAATGATCAATTTTATAAGTAAGTTTCTAATACTTTTCAAAATTTTCATTTAATGTGTGATATATTTTATTTTTTTTTTATCAAAATGACTATAAACGTGATATTTTCTATTTCGAATAATATATTCTTTAACGATTGTATCTAACAATATGTCGTTAATAATTAACAAATAATTGCAAATAATAAAGAAAAATTATTGATTAATTAAAAATAATAAAAAGAACATTATATATATAGAGAGAGAGATTTATTATAATTAATACAATAATATGCATTTTAATAAATTAACAATAATAAGTTAATCAACATATTCAATTTGGCATTATATTAGATTTATATATGTATATATTATTATATTATTATATATTATACAATTAATATATTAGGAATCAATAGATATTTTATATATATTAAAAGATTAGCTTTTACAACAAATTGCACTTTTAATTATTCTTGTACTTTTAAGCACTAAGGCACTGATATTTAACCCTTTCGTTATCAGTGACTCATATACGGGTTGTCTATGTAAAGGTCCGTATATGAGAATATATCATGTAACGATACGTACGTATGAGTGAATTTATATTGAACGATACTTTCGTTAAAACATGTCGTAACGAAAGGATTAAAAAAGTTAAGAGAGAGAGAGAGAGAGAGAGATAAAAAAGATAAAATTAAGTGCAATAGTAAAAAGATATTGAAAAATCGAGCAAAGTATTAAGAGATCAGTTCTATATTTGTGCAATGTATATATAAGTTGTTTATGATTTTATTTCTATTTGTTTTTTGTTTTTTTCGAGAGAGAGAGAGAGAGAGAGAGAGAGAGAGAAAATAAAAAGTTAAGAAAACTTGCATTGCATGCATGCATAGAGCATATGCATGTGTAAGTATCGTAAATGCATGTAAATCATACGTGACGTATTTGTAGTTGCTTAATCAGAGATTCTATTAGAAATGAATCTTCTATCAAAATTACATTTCACTAAAAACTTTTCATTATCTATTATAAATATATCTATAAAAGTTATAATAATTAGAATTTTTCTATTAATTCAAAATAATATGTAGAATTATATTTAAATGCGTTTAAAAATGCATATGTATTAGGTACTTTTATTTATCATTGTGTAAGCGTATACACAGGGTGTATCAAAATTTGAAGATACCAAAGAAGTGGCTATTTCGAATAATTTCGATGAAAATTATGTAACAATTCGTATAATAATAATAATAAAAAAAAAATACGTGTCTATGATTAGGAAACATAGTTATATTCAGCAGACTATTGTATGAATTTTTGTATTTTTTTTTTTTCCCCCCATTTTAGAATATTGAAAACATTTTTGTAATTATACTCGTATACTTTGAAATATCCTGTATATAAGAAACACAATGATATGCATTTCACGATATAAAATAATGGAATTGGTTAAAAGTTAATTAGCTAAATGGATTTCTATATGCCATTGATGCATATAATTAATCATTTCCTGTAATAATTCATTATCACTTATCTGACTGTTGAGATAGATTTTTTTTCATTATTCTTTCAACTAACTTTCGATAACGTTGCGTCATCGGTCGATATATCTACAATATATAAAATTCAATTATTTTATCATTCGAAGCATAGTCAGTAATTTATATTTATTTATATATGAACATTTAATTTAATAATTATCTTTTTGTTGTTGTTGTTAAGATTTGAACTTACAGATTCGGCATCGTCGTACGGTCGACAGACAAGTTTTGGTTCTGGTAAACATGCTGTTATTTCTTCAAAGTTACATTCGTTTCTTAGCAAACCGTGTTTTGCTTGATACGCTGCACCCATCATTGCTGAATTTGTTACTTCCTATAAATATATATATATACATAATAATAATAAATATATAACAAAAATAATAATAATATTAATTACCGAAATATAAACAGGTGAATTAAAGACATCAGCAAGTACTTGTAGTATAGTTTTATTAGCAGATGCACCACCTGTCGCTATTATTCGTGTATTGGGACCTAATGTAGGATAAATAACATTTAGTAACAATTAAAAAAATTGTTTGATTAAAAATAATTCAATACCAACCAATAACAAAACCAAAATCTTCAGCGTAAGCTCTTTTAGCGACAAATTGGCCTTCGATTAATGCTCGAACTTCGACTTCTTTCGAACTGTATCGATTAATTTCATCATTTGCTTTATTAAATCTGTAATCACCTATTACAGATGGTAAAATTTCTTGTGCGTCGAAATACAGAGCAAAATTTCCAAAATTTCCTCGCGGCGTACTTTCTAATAATTCGTTAAATATTTGCCATGAACCTTCCGCAGCACTATCACGTATCCTTTCTCTAGTCAATGATCCATTTTTAAAACTAAACAAATATATTAATTCTAATATTAATTAATAATGTTCTAGTATATTTATATTAATATTATATTATTTCAATTATTACCAAAGTAATGCCATATATGCGTCATCTTCAATAGGATTGCAAAGAATATGACCATCAATAACAGTTTTGGGCTCGTTCAACCATAAAAATAAAGTATCGCTTGTTCCTAAACTGCATGCGATGTCCCCTTTTTTTAATCTCATTCCTTGTTTGTACATTTTTAAATAATATTATATTATTAATCAAATTGTTATTTCAATTATTACAAATTAACAAATCCATTTGAAATCTTCACAGGTGTTAACACGTACCTACCAAAGAACCTGGATTATCTCCCGTAAATGCAATTATCCTGCAAGTCTCATTGAAGCCAAATCTTTCAACAAAGTAAGGTGATATCGGACCGATATTATTGTAGGAAGAAATCGGTTTGCCCAATTTTTTTCTTAAATCCGGTGCGCAAATCTATTAACAAAATAAAATGATCATACAGAAAGAAAGAAAAAAAAAAAAAAAAAAAAAAACAGAAGATTATATTGACACAAATTTCATTTAATTTTCAGTTCTTCAAAATATTATATTTGAAATTTGTACCTCTAGTAAATCATCGTCCCAATCTTTCGTACGAATATTTAGAAGATTCATTCCAGAACCATCTGACCAATCGATCGGTGCAAAATCACCCAAGAAAAGTGATGCAAGAAAACTACTGATCAATGAAATTCTCTACGAAGAAAAAATAATTTGATCGATCGTTAGTGATTTCTTTAGAGAGAGAGAAAAAAATAAGAAAATTAGGTAAATATTTATAAGAATTTGTTAAAGACACGATTTAAATGATTTAAAAAAAAAACAAGATAATGCGAATGTACGTAAAAATGTTGAAATGCAAACGGGATTTAGGTAGATCACACTAAATATTTATTCAATATTTTTTTAATACCTCGATTATACGCTGTTTTCTATTTTTATTTTTATTATTTTATTTTATTTATATTTGTATTTGTATTTTTNTTTTTTTTTTTTTTTTTTTTTCAAAGAAGCCGTAGAATTTGTTTATTAGGTATACCTCGGTATTACTGTAAGCTTCTGGCCTTGTTCGTGAAATCTTTGCTATTTGTGGTCCTGAAAATCTTTCATATGCTCGGGACCCTGTTATTTCTGCTAATTTCTGTATATAAATTGATTGAACAAATGTTTATTATCAAATTTGAATGATTATTTTACGTAGATTATTATACAAGGATTAAACATACTTTAGGATCACCAGCGATCGTTTCCAAAATACGACATTCATTAGTTGTACTGGAATCCATCCAAACAGGTGACTGTGTTATCGAAAAGGACGTTGCAAATTGTTCGTGTAAAAATTTACTTGGTTCTAAATTTTGCAAAAGATTTTGACTACCTTTACCCCAATAAACTGTACCGTGTTGCTGTTAAATAATATTATTAATTATATTGTTGTGTAAATCAATGAAAAAAAAGTAAGGGACATTACTAATTAATACTTTAATGGCCGCACGTGTACGCAGTCGTCAAACGTCGTCAGGGGCCCGGTAATATTTTACAAGAATTCATTGAAAAAAAAAACTTTATTATCATTCACGAATAAATTAACATAAAACAAAAAACAACAATTTAACAATAAAATTAATTTTATATATAAAGTTATAAATAAAATAACGGCCAATGTTCCGACTATCACACACATTTTGTGTTGAGCGGCCATTAAAGTGTTAATAATATTAATGTTTTCATTTTTTTTTGTTTTTGTTTACTTGAGCACATCCGGAAATAGCAGCAACTTTACTAAAATCAACTCCGCAAACTCTTAATTTATCTAAGATCATATCTAAAGCTTTGACCCACATTAAAGTTGGTGCCACTACTACGTGGGACTCATATTTTTTTTGCACGACACCTCCGTACGTTCTAAAGAAAGAGAAAAAAAAACAAACATATATTAAATATTACAAAGATAATATTTTATTTATATACTTGGGTATTGTGAATATTTCATTATAATAATTATACCTAAATTCTGGTAGATCATTATCGAATTGAACACTGGTTTCATGTAGAATACCAAGATCGTCATCGACCACAACAGCCTTCAACTGTCAACAAATGGCAAGCAACGAAACTTGATTTATTTAATTATTGAAATAATATTTCTTTTTTAATTTGATATTATTTCTATCCCCACCCATCCACCCTGTCCTCCCCCGGCCCCATTTTAATTTCTCTTTATTTATATTTAGATAAGGATTTATCCATGACATTAGATTAAAAACGACCCGGGAAAAATTGCATACGTCAAAGCTTGTTACGGTTTAGCTGGCAATATTGGAATCGGTGTCAAAGGGTCGTCATCTTCGCGAGCGAATGCGCGCAAGTATGTACGCATATCATTTTTATAATTTGAATAAAAAGCGCGCGTCTCGAATCGAAATTGTTGCGCATGCGCATTGACGATTCTCGAAGATTCGAGTGAACGTAGGAGATAGTCGCGAGAGGTATGTACGTTAAACAAAGTTTCGGAACTGTGTTATTTATTTCTACGAGAGCATACATATATATTTTAACTAAGATCATAAATTATTGATTAAATAATTCAATTTAATAACGGTTGCGCGTTTAATTTAACGACATAATAATAATAATAATAATAATAAAAAAAGAAAAGATAAATACGCGATGTCAATAGTCACGCTTGTAATCGTTCAAGGAATCCCGATTGGAGTTGGTAGCGAAAGAGATCACGAGAGCAGCAGCAACAAGAGGAGGAGGTGGTGGTGGTGGTGGTGGAGGATGAGAAGGAAGAGGAAAGGGTGATGATGGTGGTGGTCGTCATCGTTGAAGAAGAGAGAAGAGGTGAAAGGGTTTAGAAACGCATGGCCCGACCACTCTCAACTTTACTGCCGAGATAAGAAGAACTGCGCGTAAGCGACAATTCCTCTTCATCTTCTTCTTCTTCAAAGTAAATAACTGTATTATACATCATATATACATATATATTATGTTTATAATATTATTTGTGTATACAATGTGTACGCAATTGCACAAGATGAGACGAGACGAATTTATTTTTCTTTTTTTTTTTCTTTAATCGCGTATCCGTTATACATAATACATTCTATATCTTTATCAAAATCTTTTGTTTTAGTTGTTTTTCTTTTTGAAATGACAAATTGTTGATATGATAGGACAATATCGTTACCTGCTGCGTGCTGAGATCGAGACCTAAGTACGTCGCGTTCGAGGATGCTCCCATAATTTATGGATTAATTTTCTTCGTTGTTAAAAAAAAAAAAACAAAAAACAAAAACAAGAAGAAATGTGTGTATTGTTACACTTAGCAGCAGCTCGTTTTACTGTCTCTCTGTCTTTCTCTCTATGTGTGCTGTCAACTGTCGAGTTGTAGGTAACAATAACGTCACACCTTGACTACCTCTAGTTGTTCTCTCGTGGAGTTCGAGATGGTGGGAATGAGAGGGAGAAATAAAGAAAGATAGAAAGAGATAGAAAACACGGAAGGAGAGTACGTTGATGTATGAATAAGAAAGAGACAGAAGATGGAAATAAATAAAGATAAAAAAAAAAAAAAAAAAGAAGAAAAAAATTAGAAGAGAGGGAAGTATAGAAAGTCGTAGGAGGCGTTGATTCAACTCGTAACACACACACACACACAACATACACACTTACACACATACGTCTTCTCCTATAACCGCATTGGCTTTAACCGTTCGCGAAACTAACTTCGGTTCGCTTACGTTTTCCGTTTCCAACCTCTTATTTACAACGTGGCATCGTTGTTACGCGCTATTTATCCTATCTTTCTTTATCTCTTTTAACAATAACAACAACAACAACAATAACAGCAATAATAGCAGCAGCAGTAGTAACAGTAGCAACAATAACGTTGACCACGACGACGCATGACGCGTGACCCCGGTGAAAGACCCTCGGACTAATCTTATCGTTGTTATTATTAATAATGATCGTTCCACATTACGTAAGCTGTATATTTTATCGTTCGAACGATTTACAAACGTTTTTTTTTTTTTTATTATCGAGTTACTCTACTTGCACTTTCGGCATGTCCATTTATCTTTCTCTTTCGTCGATGTTTCTTCAACCCCCACCCCCCACCTCTCACCCCCTAAAGGTATCGTGATACCTTACAGGAGACGTGAGGTAAGATGAGGATAAAAAAAAAAATTAGAGGTTAGGTTTCTATCGGTAGTTTGAAATTTTATCGAGTTCTTCCTTATCGACGGTACATGATTCTATTTTATTTCGACTCACCTGATATTACATTTTTATTATATTTACTTTGGTTACCTATCGAGAATTATCCTGTTATCGATAAATTTTTGTTGTTGTTTTTTTTTTTTTTTAAATATTTATTGTTTAAATAATTTATTGATTAAACGATTGATTGAAAGAAAATTGTTTTTGTTTTATTTGATCGTTATTTTTATTAACATCCGTTAGATCGTCGTAATTATATTCGTTTTTTTTAATTGTTTATATTAATTAAATAATAATTTATTTAATTATTATTATTTCGTGTGTAGAACAATTTAAAAAATGATTACTTTTTTTTTTGTTAAAAATGGAGACCTTGTCTTTGGCTGTGCCGTTTCTTTTCATGTATATATATGTATATATGTATATATGTGTACATATATACATATGTACGAAAATACCTGCGTAGAAAGTCTAAATAGTATTTTCATTCAAATTCATTCCGTGGCCGTCCTTGATTCCACGTTAATCCGCATTTAAATTTCTTCTTTTTCTCGATCGTACATTCGATTATTTCGTAAAGTAAACGGCACGAAGTCAATGGTCTTTCAATTCTCTCAGGGACATTTCAAAGAAAATATTTAAACTCTTATGCAAATTCGATTATTATTATATTTGTCGTAAAATCAAGTCGGTAAGGTAGATTTTTTTTTCTTTTTTATTGATAACAAATATCGAATTCTTGAACACTTGGAGATCATATATCCTATGACAAATATTAACCCTTTTTTTTTTTTTTATTTTGCACTCGAGAACTTGATCGAACCAACAACTTGAGACGATATTCAACATATTTGTAGAATGTTTTTTTTTTTTTTACAGTTGTTATCTTAAAAATCATCATACACAATTTAACGTTTAACATTTTTATATTTCAATGAAGGATATTTGTTAAACATTAAGTTTTGTATTATTGTTCTTTTTTTGTGTGTGATATTACAAAACAATTTCCAACATGCATTCACATCATCACAGTAATACATTGGTTTTGATGTTTTTTTTCTTTACCAGATTTTATTTTCTTCATGACCAACCTTGCAATCCTTTTTAATTATATATTTTATCATTCAATTAGATTTCATGAAAACTACTGGTCAAAGTAAAAGCTCGAATTCCTAGTCTCGTGATATCCAATTGTGTAGGTGAGATCATTATTATAGTCACGTAACTACTTAAGTACGTATGTATGTACTTACTTGCATATGCACCACGTGTATTTACACTTATGGTAGTTTGTTCATCACCTAATCCAACTAATCAGTCTAATAAAGTACGATCTACTTTTTTGCGTCTTATTTTTATGCATTGCATTTATGCGAATCTTAATTGGTTTCTTTTTTTTTGTTCTTTTAATTTTCTTTTTTCTCGAATTACAAATTTTACTGATTTAATATAACACGTTCCGTGCCATGTGTATCACCGATGGGGGTACACTTACAATTAGGCATATTTATTTAATGTTATATGTTTATAATAAATGTAATTCTGTAAAAGAATATTTTTCTATTCAAATATTGATGCATTATACAAAATGCAGCACGTGAGTTTGTTTAATTATTATATTTACACGATAATTAATTAATATTATTAATTATAATATAATTATACTTTATATATTTATATTATTTTATTATTTAATTATATATTTAATTATTTTTAAATATTTATTATATTTAATATATTAAGTATAATATATTAAATATTATACTTTATTATTTATATTAATAATTATATATATATATTATATTAATACATGTAATGTAGTTATTTTTGTTAAAGCAAAATTAAATGAATGACAAGTCAAGTTGGCATGGAACGTGTTAACAAAATTTGATTATTTTAAATATATAAACAATTTTGTAGTTCATATATTATATATTTAAATTGAATTCACGTTCATTTAAACTGATTCCTTGTTCATCGTATTCAATATTCTTATCAGTTTCCTTAACTTTGAAAATAATATTCTTATTGCCACGAGACAGTCGAGTTCAAACTATCGTTGAACACTCATATGCATTTACAATGCATATAAACGACGTATTTAAGATTGTTGTTTTTCACTCAGACGTTGTTGAAAGCATTCATAAAGCTTGCTATTGTTCAAACAAAACAAACTAAATCAAAAAAATGATTATCGTTCGAATTATTTTATAAGATCTGTGAGTAACCTGTCGAGTGCAGTGGGTTCAATTTCAACATTTCTTTCAATACTATCCAACGATGTAGAAATAAAAAAGGGTTAGTCTAATTTAGTTTGACCCCTTAATTTACATAATTCTAAACAATGTTGAAACAGGGTTGGTTGGGAATACAAGGAATGAAATATTAGAGTAAGATAGAAGGATGATGGTTGTTGGTTGATGTTAGTCGATGTTAGCAACAGCAGCAGCAGCAGCAGCAAAAGTAGCAGCAGCAGGAGCAGCAGTTTGTTTGTGTAGTGGTTGACGCGGTATGCGGCTGGGGTCCAATGAAAGGCAGAGAGAAACATAGAGTAGGAGAATAAAGGGAGAAAGGAAGGAAGGAAGGAAGGGCAAGGGGAAGAGGAAGGGGAAGAGAAGGATAGGGTTTATCGTGAGGGTGCCAGGGGGTCTGGCCCACGCCTGTTTGTCGGTCCCGTTGCCCTATAATCGTGGTATACAGATAATGGTTTGGTCTTAGGGACGCCAACGGTGCACACACTGTTGTAAAAGGGGCTGCAAGGGTAGAAAGAGAAATAAAAGAAAAGAGAAGGGAAGGGAAGGGAAGGGAAGGGAAGGGAGGGAGCGCCAGAGTGGCGTCGAGAACGGCTGGTTCCCTTTTCTTCGAAGAAGATGTGGAAGAAGATGAAGAAGATGAGGATGAAGAAGAGGAAGAGGATGAGGACCGATCGGCGTGTCCAATCGAGCGAAACTTTCCCTCCTGGCGCAGCTTGAAGCCGTTTGGCAAGGCTCCTCCTTCTCCTCTTCCTCTTCTCTTCTTCTTCTTCTTCTTCTCTTCTTTTTCCTTCCTTCCTTCTTTCCTTTTTCCCTTTCCCTTTCCTTTCTCTTCTTCTCTTCTTTTTCTTTTCTACTTTCCTTTGTGAATTGTTTCTTTTTTTTTTTTTTTTNGGCTCCTCCTTCTCCTCTTCCTCTTCTCTTCTTCTTCTTCTTCTTCTCTTCTTTTTCCTTCCTTCCTTCCTTTTTTGATTGTTTCTTTTTTTTTTTTTTTTTGTAAAAAGGCGCGACGATTTCCGACATCCCATAGCCGCAGATCGAAATCCGATTAATTGAGGAGTAAACGAGTGGAGGCGTCCAGGAGACGAACGTCGAAAGGAGAACGATCTTATCGAAAGGGGTAGGATCGTAAAACTAAGATCGTATCGTATTCCAAAAGAGAGAGAGAGAGAGAGAGAGAAAGAGAGGAGGTGGTAGAATAAGGATGACCGTATCATCGTGTGGCGTCGGCGTTCGCGCGCCATGGCAAGTCTTTTATCGTGTTTTTCGTTCCGGTCCTTTGGAACCGAGCTTGGTTTTTACGGCCGATCGAACGATTTCTTCTCTCTCTCTCTCTCACTCTTTCTCTTGCGAGGATCGTTCTTCTTCTTTCCTTTAGTCGTCTAGAATAAACGCGTATTTTCCTCTTCCTCTCCTTTTGCGATATCGGATTTGCATCGGGTTTGATCGTCGTTGGAACGGGAAGAGATGATGTGTTATGCGCACAGAATAAAAAGAGGGTAACAGTGTTTTATTAGAGATGGATGCATCGAACATACACGATCGGTAGATGGATGGATGGATGGATGAATGGATGGACGACCAATGGATGAATTTCTAGGAAATAAAAGCTATGGGTGCTGGGGGTTTGAGGGGATCTATCTAAGGAGAATGGAAAGTTTCATTATCCTTTGCGCGCGATGAAGACGAACTGATAGTAGTAGGAGTTGAGGTACGGTTGAGTAGTAGTAGGGTACAAGAAGAGGACGATGCAGATGACGAGGGCAACAACGAACAAGAAGAAGAAGAAGAATAAGAAGAAGAAGAAGGGTGATCCCGTGGAAGAGAACAAGCGGATGGCGACAGCCGGCAGAGCCTCGTCGTCGCCGATGTCGACGATGGTGAAACGACGAATGGTCTCTTTCTTTCTCTTTCTCTCTGGGCCGAAATGTATGAGAGAAAGACAGAGATAGAGATATATAGAGAGAGAGGGGGGAGGGAAGAGAGAAAGAGAGAAAGAGAGACGGAGAGGCGCCGATTCCAGCGACCGGCCGGCGCTGAGAGTCGACGCCAAGCGTGGCGTCGCCAAACGTAGTGACGCCTCGTCGGCCGACACCGTTGACGACGACGACGACGACGACGACCACCACGTTCCTACGATGACAAAGACAACGATGGGTAAAGCCGACGGAGACGGCGACAACATCGTCGTCGTCGTCGTCGTCGTCGTCGTTCCTCGACGCGGCCAATGCAAGAATAACTCCTTCCACGTTGGCATCGTAGTATCGGGGGTGAGTCGCCAAGCTGGAGGGCGCCCTACCCACTCTCTCTTTTCTGACTGGCAACCCTTCCAGGAATCCCATTCCACCTCTTCTTTTCTCTATCCTGTATATCCTTCGAAATCACTGAAATCACCGGCCAGACTTAGCCTAGACTCTGATATTTTCTTTTACCTATAAAGGTACTCTTAATTCGTACCACCTAGGATAGATCGTCGTCGTCGTCGTCGTTGTCATCGTTGTTACTGTTGTCTTTGAAAGAAACCAAACAAAATGTTACGAAACATTTCACAGTTAATATCTATCTACTTTTTAATTGGGTTTCTCTCAGTCAGTAGATCTAATCTATCTTCTCAGATAGTGATTAGAAAACTAAATACCGTTTGTACCAAGTCAGCAATATTATTGTAACTATTTATTTAACACCTGTAATCTCTATCTTATCATCTATTCATTCCCTTGTTTCTTACCGTCATTCTTACTCTGTAATAAACATAAATAAAAGACAAATTAAAAATAGAAACATTAGGAGATTGCAAGAATCGCGAGTGTGTCGCGTGAGAGTCAACATACAGGATGCAAGGGGAAGA